GTCATTTTGTGTCTCCTCGTGGTTGTTTTGTGTTTTTTTGTTGTCATTTTGTGTCTCCTTGTGGTTGTTTTGTGTCTTTTTGTAGTCATTTTGTGTCTCCTCGTGGTTGTTTTGTGTCTCTTCGTGGTTGTTGTGTGTCTCCTTGTGGTTGTTTTGTGTCTTTTTGTAGTCATTTTGTGTCTCCTTGTGTTTGTTTTGTGTCTTTTTGTGTCTCCTCGTGGTTGTTTTGTGTCATTTTTGTAGTCATTTTGTGTCTCCTCGTGGTTGTTTTGTGTCTTTTTGTGTCTCTTCATGGTTGTTTTGTGTCATTTTGTGTCTCCTCGTGGTTGTTTTGTGTTTTTTTGTACTCATTTTGTGTCTCCTTGTGGTTGTTTTGTGTTTTTTTTGTGTCTCCTCATGGTTGTTTTGTGTCTTTTTGTGTCTCCTCGTGGTTGTTTTGTGTCTCCTCATGGTTGTTTTGTAGTCATTTTGTGTCTCCTTGTGGTTGTTTTGTGTCTTTTTGTGTCTCCTCGTGGTTGTTTTGTGTCTCCTTGTGGTTGTTTTGTAGTCATTTTGTGTCTCCTCGTGGTTGTTTTGTCTCTCTTTGTAGTCATTTGTGCCTCCGTGTGTCCCTTTGTGGTCATTTTGTGTCTCCTTGTGGTTGTTTTGTAGTTTTGTGTTGTTGTTTGCATCTCTTTGTGGTCATTTTGTGTGTCTTTGAGGTAATTTTAAGTCTCCTTATGGTAGTTTGGTGTCTCTTTTGGTCGCTCTGGAGTCATTTTGTGTCTCCCTGTAGTTGTCTTGTGTCTTTTTGTAGTCATTTTGTGCCTCATTGTGCCTCTTTGAGGTCATTTTGTGTCTTACTGGGGTAATTTTAAGTCGCTGTGTAAACAATTTTTGTCTCATTATGGTTGTTTTGTGTCTTTCTGTAATAGTTTGCATTTCTTTGAGGTCAGTTTGTGTGTCTTTTAGGGCATTTTAAGTCTCTTTAAGGTAATTTTGTGTCTTTTTTGATCACTTTGTGCCACTGTGTAGTCATTGTCTACCTTCCACTAAATCCACTTAAGTGGAAGCTATTGAGATAGCAGGTTAAGTCATCCCCTGCATTACAATCGGATGTTTTGTCTGTGCCTCAGCAGCAGGGTTCCACCCATATTGTTTTAAGATAGAAGTCTGATACAGACTCTTTTGTACTGAAGCTGCTGTTCGGCAATATTTTGCACAATTTTCAGTACCTTTAAATATGACCATAGAAAGTGCTTAATGTTATTTCAGGGAGTTGTTTTCTGGTCAGAGTGGAAAAACATCTAAGACAGTATTTTACATGCTCACTGTTTAAATTGCTCCTGAAATCTCTCAGTCTTCACATGTGCATCATAATTAGGTGTGCAAAGTCATCCAGAGGGCTGGGTTGGACCCCTTGGCGGGCCAGTCCTGGCCCCCTGGGCCATATGTTTGACACCCCTGCTCTAGAGTATCTTAAAACAACACAAACAAGACACTTAAACTCAAACTTAAAATCTTTGTTCTTGAATAACATAAAAAGGCTTAAACTATTTTATGTGCTCTTTTATGTGTTATCATTTCTGACCTGTTACTGTTTCTCTAAACTGTGATGGAAATTTACAGTTAACTTCAATTTGGAGATACTTGTATTTTATCTACATATGCGTAGATGTTTGGGGGGATGCAGGGTACATGTCCTCCTCATAGACCATATAAAATAATGGATGTAGCCACAGTGGCGTCACCCATTGGTTTGTGAACTTCAAGTTCCCGTCTTAGTTTTTTGGAGCCAGTAGTAACCAAGTTTGGATAAGAGGGTGGAGCTGTGGAGGAGTGAAGGGTGGATCTGCCACGCAGGCAGCAGTCACCCAAAGGGGCCCTGCCCTTTCACATGTGTAAACTCAAGGCCTGATCAAATGCAAATATGTGAGTTATATCAAAATTCGTCCCCACACAGTTGTCATGAATATTGAAGTTAGCTATAGAGACCAAAACTGTTTTTCGTGCCGGGGTGTAAACATGTTTATTTCTGCTGTAAAGTTGGGGGTTGGCCTCAAGTGCCCATTTGGGGAACTGTAGTTTTTGGCACCTCCAAGTTGGCTGCAGTTTCCAGCCCTAGAAGTTGCCACTACCCCCAATAAAAGCATGAAAGTAGCAGAAGACTTTTATTTTCAGGACCATAAAGACATTTACACCACAAACCAATGCAGAGACATTCATCAAAATGCAGGACATCAAATGTTTGATGCCCAAAAAAGGACCCCAAACCCTCACTTCCATATGTTAATTTTCTGCTGCCTCTCTTGTTACTCTACTTCATTTATTTGACAGCTTAATTTACATGTTGAGTTTTAGACTTTGTAGTGGTTTTGCCGCTTTGGTTGTTGTTGTTGTTTGTCTGTTTTTGGCCATTTTGTGTCTTCTTGTGTTTGTTTTGTGTTCTTTGTAGTCATTATGCTTCTCTTTGAGCTGATTTTGTGTCTTTTTTGGTTGTTTTTGCTCTTTTATGGTTATTTTATGTCTCTTTGCATCTCTTTGTTGACTTTTTGTGTCTCTTTGCCGTCACGTCAAGTCTTGCTAGTTGACACATGATAATTTGAGTGACATTTTGCGGGCTCAGGGTGAGGGAGGCCCCTGAAACGTTGGGCCTTGGACTTGTGTCCAGTTGGCCCATTCAGTAATCTTTCCATGATTAGACCGTGCTACTTTTACTGTAAAACTTTTACTGTCTGCCAATGAAGTTAAACATTAATATCAGACTGCTTTATATTCAACCACATATCCTTATATGAGTCAGAGTAAATATAGTGGAGTTATATAATGTTGTATTCAGTGTTCAAATTTCAGCATGTCTTTCTGGTTGCTTTGTGTTGCTGTATAGTAATTTTGTGTCTCTTTGCAGTCCATTTGTATCTCTGTGGTCATTTTGAATCTCTTCCTGGTTGGTATGTGTTAATTTAAGTGACAGTTTGCAGGTGAAGGCCCCCTGAATCTTTGGGCCCGTTCAGTAATTCATCCATGGTCAGGCTACAGCTTCTTTTACTTAAAAAGAAAATCTGAATACTATACTAAGTTAAATATTAATATCAGATTGCTTTATATTTAACAACACATCCTTATATGAGTCAGAGTATTCAGTGTTAAAATAAGTGATTACACTGGGTAAATACATTTCCTTTCAGCTCCAGTTTGTCCTCTCTGTCAACAGACACACAGCTTATCTGCAGCCACATTGGACTTGTTAATGGTGTAATGAAGTCAGATCAAGGTGCGCAGGACAGTACAGGTGAGAGCAGGGCCTACCTGTGAGATGAGGCTACCATACAGGAAGAGGGCGTGTTTGTGATGACACTCTGGGGGAATGCTGCGCAGCCCAGATCCGACGCACATTAATGAATGCCCGGTCACAGCACAGGTGAGCCAGCCCTTTAGGTTGATTGGTTTTTATTTCGTGATCCGTAAAGACTTGTAACCAGGGCGACAGTAAAAGCAACCTTGTGTTCAGGCAGAGCACTCGCCCCACACCTCCATCACCAAGGACGTACACCGCGCGCAAAGAAGGCTCTCCGCTCCGGGTTAAAGCATGAAGGTGCAGCTGGTACTACCTGTGGTGATCATGACGTCTGTGGCTCTGATGGGGGTCATGAAATTACGGCAAAAGGAGCAGGACAAAGAGGACAGACGGAAAAGGTTTCAGGATATCAAGCTGCGGGTGACCTACGATGTGCTGCAGGAGTACGAGGGCGAGAAGGCGCAGCAGCAGAACCTGCTGGAGAAGACGCGGAGTGAGGAGAAGGCGCTGTCGGAGGAAGTGATCAAGCTCGAGACCCGAGCAGACAAGGCGAAGGGCGACGTGGACGTCTGCACGGGTGATCAGGTGGGCAGACACTGAAAGATGCAAGCAGGGAGAGCAGGAGTAGTGACCCCATGTGAAAGTTATGTTGGATTCAGAACCAGTTTTAACGGGGAAATGACAGTACAGATTGAAGGGGGATGGGTGGCTCACATCACGTCAAGTGTATGCACAAAAACACACACAACCTGTTTCACCTGGTTCCGATATGAATGCATAAAATCACCACCAGCCAGATAATCGGACTTCTCACTATCAGAGCAGGGACTGTCAACAGGCCTACAGGTAAGAGTATATAATAATCCACTGTCCCTGCTTGGATACATGGCAGGCCTTAGACTTTACAGGATCACAGGCCAGTTTCCTTTATTTTATTATTTCAAGACTGTCAGTTATTTTGCCATAATACCACATATATGAGTGGACATCGCTTTAAAACATTTTGTTTCATTATTTTGGCAAAAAACATCTATATAGTCAGTGAGAAACATGATCTGTCTCTGCCTCCAAGTGCTCCTGTGCTGAAGTATGTCATTTTTGCTCATATTTCTAAACACCAAACTTCTTTTAAGGGCAATACATGCCTGAAAATGTGTAAACTAATGCTCTCTGTCATGGTGAAGTAGCTAGATGATAGCTCTGGAGGAAGGGAAAGTAGCTCTGTGGTTTGCAATACATTCATTTTACATAATAAACCAACTCTGCAAAGCTGATCTGGTGCAGTGGCTCCTCACTGGTCCAGCTACAGTGTCCAGATTGCTTCTTAGTCATTAGTTCAAGGTCCCACACTTTAATACATACAACGTCACACTTGAGTTTAGCCATGTTGTTGAGATAGTTTGCTGTCTCTGTCTAGTAGCTGCCGGTCAGTCACTCTTTCTGCGGCAGAAAATGGCACTTCAAAATAAAAGCTCTGTGCTGGAATTCACTGTACTTAAAAATAAAGTGCGTTTTTTTACTAACTTGACATGTTTGCTGGTCATTTGTGGTTCATTCAGAATGGGCCCACGACCCACTTTTGGACCACTGATCTTGTGGCTTCAAAGTGCAGTGATTCCTCAGTGTTTGTCAGAGTATCCAAAAAAAAACATCAGAAAAATAATCTTTTAGGGCACATCATGCCAAATAAGAGGAAGATATGAAGTATATCGCTAAACTTGACCAGGTAGCACAATGCCAAAACTGTGTTGTGTGCAGTTCCAGGTAATATCATGACAGACTTATTCAAATATTTACAGTGGGAGTCCCAAGGAAGTGGCTGCATCAAAGCTGAAGATGTGCAGTATAGATGCAGGATGTTAGTCTGTGCAGAGCAGATTATTTTCTCCAGCAAACTCAGGTTTGTGTCGCTGACATTTGTTTTTCCTGTTGTAGAAATCTGCCAGAGATGAGCTGGCAGCACTCGAGGCCGATCTCAGTCATCTCCAAGGTAGGTGTCAATTTATGATCCTCAATAGTGTAAGTGTGTAAAATAATTGAGAGAAGACACAAGGCAGCTCTTCCTGCTTTTACTGTGCTGATACAAATGTATTAAAGTTTGCCTCTTTTCCAATCAAAAAATATTGATTGCGCCAAATATTGATCTTAACCTTGCTTTAATTTTATAATTCCCATATAATAATACCTACAGCTGACAATGACAAGGAGAAAACCAGCTGGACAGCAGAAGTGGAAACACTGAAACAGCAGCTAGCAGCACCGAGTGGAGTGTGTGGCTTCTTGAAAGCTGGAGCACCTGAAGAAGTAAGGTATGGGAAATACTTATAAAGATATATATATATATATATATATATATATATATACATAGAAATATAAAATAACTTCTGCACTCAAACATCCATAATCATAACTACTGTATGCATTCACCACATTTTCTATTGTTGAACTTTCTCGTGAAGCAAGCTGTGTGGCAAGGAAGTAGCTGCAGAGGCCCCTAAACAAGAGGAGCCAAAGGCAGAGGCCCCGAAACAAGAGGAGCCTAAAGCAGAAGCCCCTAAACAAGAGGAGCCAAAGGCAGAGGCCCCTAAACCAGAGGAGCCTAAAGCAGAGGCCCCGAAACAAGAAGAAGCAAAGGCAGAGGCCCCGAAACAAGAAGAAGCAAAGGCAGAGGCCCCGAAACAAGAAGAAGCAAAGGCAGAGTCCCCTAAATAAGAAGAAGCAAAGGCAGAGGCCCCTAAATATGAAGAAGCAAAGGCAGAGGCCCCTAAAATTTAAGAAGCAAAGGCAGAGGCTCCTAAAAATGAAGAAGCAAAGGCAGAGGCTCCTAAGAAGTGATAAGGTATTACAACCTGTGTTTTTGACTCTACAACTACAACTTCCTCTGTTAAAAAAAAGACAAAACAAAAACCATTTTTGATATTTTGCAACCAGATTCTAGCACGTTGCTTTACTGGGTCGATGTCACGTGTGGTACTTGTACAGGTAGGAGCCTCAAGAAGAACTGCTTAGTTCCCTTATTGGAATGTTTATTTCATCTGTTATTTGTTTTTATGCAACAAAATGAAGAATGAAGTTACATTTTTATGTTGGCATTTGTGGGGTTTTTTGGTGTGTGTGAGTATGTTGGTGCAACATGCTTTTATAATGAACAGATTATGTTATAATGCAAATATTTTCTGCCGGCCAGGTTCAAGAGACATTTATTGTAATTATAAGGCAATGTAAAAAATCACTGACTAAATAGTGATAAAGTGATGTATTTAAAGCCATCCAGCGTCTCCTCTGCCGCCTGCTCTGCTTCACGTCATGTTGACATTGTTCAGTTTCTTTTTCGGTGGCAAGAATGTTTGTCTGCCATAATGCAGTTTGTTTATGGCACAAAGAAAATAAATACAAAGCTGTGAACCAACTTACTTTTCTGAAAAAAATAAAATAAAAAAATAAGAGGGTATGTGTACAATAATTTGTCAATAATGTACACACTTTGAGTTTAATTTAAATTAAGTAATGAAAAACTGGGTTGTTAGTACACAGTAACATGTCTAATGTACACACTTTAACTTTAATTTAAAAAATAATAAAGTGGGTTGCTTGTACAGTAACTTGTCAATAATGTACACACTTTGAGTTGAACTTAAAAAAAAAAACAATAAAAAGTGGGTTGCTTTTACACAGTAACTTGTCAGTGATGTAAACACTTTGGGTTTAACCTAAATAAATAAATAAATAAATAATAGGGTTGTTTGTATACAATAACTTGTCAATAATGTACACACTTTGAGTTTAACTTAAATTAAACAACAATAAATTAATAAAAGACTGTTGATTGTACACAATAACTTGTCAATAATGTACAAAATTTGAGTTTAACTTAAATTTAAAAAAAATTAAAAAGTGGGTTGTTTGTACAACAACTTGTCAATAATGTACACACTTTGAATTTAACTCAAATTTGAAAAATAAAATAAAAAACGGGGTTGTTTATATACAATAACCTGTCAATATTGCACACACTGAGTTTATTTAAATTCTAAAAATAACAATAAAAAAGGTGTTGTTTGTATACAATAACTTGTCAGTGTTGCACACACTGAGTTTATTTAAATCATAAAAATAAAAAACGGTGTTGTTTGTATACAATAACGTCAATATTGCACACAATGAGTTTATTTAAATTCTAAAAATAAAAATAAAAAAGGTGTTTGTATACAATAACTTGTCAATAATGTACACACTTTGAGTTTAACTGAGAAAAATTGAATGAAATAAATCGTCCTTGATGACCATTCAGTGTAAGCATGATCAACTAGCTTATGTTATTCATGTGGGCAGTGGTGGAGAAAGTATTAAAATCCTCAACTTAATTTAAAGTAGAAATAGGCTTATCACAATTTAAAA